TCCTCTTTAAAATCACATTTCTTCTCCCTGACATGTTTAAGTGGACATTTGGCAAAATTTTATTTTAAATTTTATTTTATTCTAAAATGTATTTTAATTGAAACATTTATCCTATTCTATTTTTATGTGTTTATGTATTTTAGCCTTCAGCTTTTATCTTATGTTCCTTAACTGTGATTCCTGTACAGCACTTTGGTCAACCCCGGTTTTTTAAATGTGCTTTATAAATAAAGTTTGAGTTAAGTTGAGTTGAGTAATATTATGGTGTGCTAAAAGATTTCCTTATTTATCAAACCGATGCCAAAGTCGGACTTCACCTGATGCTCCACATTTCTCCTTTAAGGGAAGAAAGTGCTGCTTGTAAGAGTTGTCATAAAATAAAACTTTATTCCTGTAATGGTAAGTTTACGACTTCGTTCTCGAAATTTTATGACTTTATACTCGTAATATTATGATTTTGTTCTCGGAAAACAAAAAATCTCTAGCCTGGGCCTAATACTCTGTTGTAGTGTAAGAACTGTGACGTCATTATGGGGGGGGAAACAGCGTATAAGATCACAAGAAGAACAAAACAAAAAGGAAAAAAATATATATAAAACTTCACATTACAGCTGATGTAGAATCCAGAATACAAAAAGATTTTCTTTTTGGAAAATCAACAGTTTGGGGTGATCCATTTAACTTTTTAATGATTTGTAAAATAAATTAGCTGATAATAATTCGTACCACCCTTCTACCAACAGCGCTGCCGAGGATTAGTGGCCCTGCCGAGCCGCCGTAGCGATGGGAGAGAACGTGTCCAAGCGGCTAAAGTTGATATCGGCTACGGAAGCAGAGATGGAGGAGCGCTCCTTCCATAACCAGTTTGCTGACTGGGAGGCTGGACTGGCTGCCTGCAGCACTGCAGCTCAGCTGGATCATAACGACCCGTTTGACGCGGAAGGAAACGTGAGGAAGCGCTTTGTGCTGTTCTTTTTACGGGCTAAATATAGCTAGAGTTAGCTTAGCTTTGCCACTGCTGATGTTTATTTATTTACTGCCTGAAAAAGTGAAGCCACCGGCCGCCATATTGGTACTCCCCGCTCCTATGNAAAAGTGAAGCCACCGGCCGCCATATTGGTACTCCCCGCTCCTATGTAGACACGCAGTGAAAATGCAGCATTTGGCTGCAAAAACCAGCAGTTTTCAGGCTGTAGGAAGATAATCCACAGTTAATTTCACAGTCAGTGGATGAAATAACCAATAAATCCATCTATACACTCATTAGATATATAGATGTCTGTTAATGCTACAGTATTTTCCCATTTGCATATTGTGCATGCATAACATATATTGTGTGTGTCATGCATGCATAATATGCAAATAGGAAAATACTATAGCATTAACAGATATATACTTGTAATTCAGTCTTTATGTCAGATTTGCAATTATATGTAAGATATAATTACCGTAACAATGTCATCAATACATGTCTATTACATGTACATCATTAATTTAGCATTTTTGGCTCATCTGTATTATTCTGCTCCATTAACACATTCATTTTATTGTGATGGATGTGCCTTTATTTTATTATAAGTCACAGTTAATCTATTGATGCTATGGAACAGCCAGTCTGTGTCAAAGTGATGAATTTATCTTTATTTTAATAGTCTCAAGTCCCCCTGAAAATGAGATCATCATCGTTGTTCTATGCTGCAGCGCACTGATTGTTTACATTGCGACCGGTCTGACTAGGGAGTACCAATATGGCGGCCGGTGGCGTCACCTCAACCCTGTACTACCAACAGGCCATCAGCGATCCAGGGAATAAACAGAGATCAGTGTTTGCCACCCTGCTGCGATTTGTTTGGATGATGTTTTTACTTCACACTCAGAATATTGTGCCGTTTTAATATCCAGGCGCACGTTTATTTGTTTTAAACACTTTTTTCTTTTACACCCTTGGATTAAATGATCAACCTTATTTAGTAGATCTTTTATGCTTGCTTTGCTGTTTTAACTTTTGACACAATATTTAGGAGAAGAAGCTGAAGTTGGCTTCTTATTTGGGAAAGGAGTAAAGGGCGATTCCACTAAATGTTTTCCTCCCTTCAGCATCTTTAATCTACTCTAATTCAAAAACTGGACGGTTCATTGCTACACAGAGAACAGAGCAAATACAAACCAATAAAAGCACGAACGCATCAACACTCTGGTCCATGATGAACATTGAACTGAAACTGTACATTTTGAATCCCTGTTATCAGCAGGATTTGTCTTTTCATCTTTAGGTTAATGCAGCTTTTCAAAACAAGGTGCAGAGTAAGATCAAAGATCTCCTCCAGCAGATGGAGGAGGGCCTGAAGACTGCCAACCCTCATGACTTCTCCACATATACCGGCTGGACAGGTCTGTTACGCTTTTTGTTGGTTGTGTTTTTGTCCAACGTATCATTTCCAGCTGTGTTTGACCTCTGACCCATCATGGTTCAGGTTTAGTTGGCACCATCTAGAAATGCTTCAGTAGTGTTGGTGAGTCCCAGTTCAGTGCATATGCATAAATAATGAAAAAAAAAACAGTTTGAAAAAGAGTTTTGGAAGGTGTTTAGACAAACATATAAACAACATAAAGCCTTTAATTAGAAACACCATCAATTTACCTTTCACTACAGTTTCACAACAAAGGCTTGACAACGAAAAAAACTAAATAGAAATGTATCTAAAATTAATTTTAAAAAACAAAATAACTTTACTTTCTTTTGTAAATCACATTAGACCAAATGTTCCTCAATAGATCATAATACTCAGAGCAATCCTTAAAAATACTGAATAATAATAATAATAATAATAATAATATTATATAAATAAATATATATTTGTAAAATATAATCTTATAAGAATATAAAACTTTGTGTTTATCATATTAATATTTATTTGCAAAATATATAACTTTTCATACATCTCATCCAGTTTGAGTTCAGTTTAAATAGTTTTTAATCTCAATAAATATGTGAAATCTAACTGAAAGGTAATTTTAACGTTTGTTTTAGAATTTGAAGGTGTTATGACATATCAGAGATTACTGTAATATTATTATCGTCATTAAAATCAGATCTCAGCCGCCTCCTATTCATTCTGACAGCAGCTGTCTGAGCTGTGGTCTGATCCAAGATGGCCGCCCTCTAGGCACCTCAGCCAGCGTTCAATGTGGCGTTCTACAGATATATTGTCTATGCATGACTGTTAAAAATGATCCAAGGGGAACTT